GCGGGACACCCACCGCTCCGCCGCCCCTTCACGTAAAGCCGCGTGCAGGACAGGTCAAAACCCCTTTCCTCATCTGTCACGGCCCCCGCGGTGGCCAGAGTCGCCCAGAAGGTCACAAGTCGGGATGGACGGTACCACCCGGGAAGTTAGGCCACCGCCTTGTTTCTCCTCGCTCCGAGATGTCCCGCGGGAGCGACGGGTTAACGGTGAGAGCCGGCTCCCACCAACGCCCGCCGCCCCAGCTCCCTCCCCATCTCCCCCACGGAGAAGAGGGATGGAAACTATTGTTATTGGGACCCTTGATCTCAAGGACGCGCGCGGGGAGCGAATGCCTCCCGGCAACCCGCCCGCACGCGCCCTTGAGATCCCCGCCGAGGAACGGGTGCCCTCTCCCGCTCCCGTTCCTCTTCCTCTTTCTGCTTCATCACAATGGAGCAGAAGGAGATCACTGCCTCTCGCCGGTCTTTGTCCCCGAAAGCCAATGCTCGCATTAGGCCCTCCAGAGACAAGTCCGGTCCAATCGCGTCGACCAGCGCTCGGCGATCTTCTGCCCACCGTGAGCACTTTTCCACGGTGTGCTCCACCGAGTCGCTGGCCGCGCCACACTGGTGGCACTGTGTCGTCGGCTCCTTTCCGATGCGACTCAGGTATTCCCCGAAGCATCCATGCCCGGTGAGCACCTGAGTCACCTTGTAAGTGAGGTGGCCGACCCCGTTCTCTAGCCACACCTCGAGATGGGGTCAAATCACCGCGACGACTTCTTGGACGGCCGCGCGCGGTTTGTCCAAGTGCTGCTCCCAATCGAGGAGCAGCTGTCGTCGGGCTTGGCGCTTGGCTTTGGCAAGAGCCTCCTGCTAGATGTTATCTGCAACGCCCTCCTGTAGTAGTTTGACTCGGCGAGCATATCTCGCCAAGTACATTTTTGCCAGGAGGGCTAGTGAAGGTACTCCCGCCAACACACCCGCCGTCTCCGTTGCCACTGTGCGAAAGCCGCATATGGCGCGGAAGACGATGACTCTCTGGGCGGCGCGGAGTTGAGCAAACGCGCTCCGCGCCCCCAACCATGTTTAACCATTTTTTTATTTTTTTATTTTTTTTTATTTTTTTTATACTTGGGGGAAATCCATTACGGATACCCTGACCATCGAGGGATGGGGGCCAGGGTTATGTGAGACTCCCCCCCTCCCCACCCCAGCGGATGAAAGAGAGAGGGTATACCCACTAAAACTTCCACGAGGTGTCTTCTCTGCCCTTGGCAGGAAGGAGCCCAGGAATTTCTTGTTCACGATGCACGCAAACTCCTCCCTCGGGCTTGACTACTCGGAAGAGAGAGGTTAGCGCCCCTCCCCCTCCGGTGGTGATGTACTGGTTGGCGGCGCAGTGGGACATCCACCATCGCGCTGCCCCTTCTCGTGGGGCCGTGTGCAGGACAGGCCAGGACCCCCATCCTGACCCGTCACAGCCCTCGCGGTGGCCTGGTCGCCCTAAGGCCTTAAGGCACAAGCAGCCGGGTGGACGGTACCATCCGGGAAGGCCATCGCATCCGTTCTTCTTGCTCCGGAGATGTCCCCCGGGGCAGCGGGTTGACAGTGAGAGCCGGCTCTTACAACAGCGCCCGCCACCCCGACTCCCGCCATTTCCCCCACGGGGGAAGAGGAGAGGGAGCTACTGTTATTGGGACCCCTGATCCCGAGGACGCGCGCGGGTAGCGAATGCCTCCCGGCAACCCGCCCGCACGCGCCCCCGAGGTCACCGCCGAGGAACGGGTGCCCTCTCCCGCTCCCGTTCCTCTTCCTCTTTCTGCTCCATCTTAATGGAGCAGAAGGAGATCACTGCCTCTCGCCGGTCTTTGTCCCCGGAGGCCAATGCACGCATTAGGCCCTCCAGAGACAAGTCCAGTCCAATCGCGTCGACCAGCGCTCGGCGATCTTCTGCCCACCGTGAGCACTTTTCCACGGTGTGCTCCACCGAGTCGCTGGCCGCGCCACACTGGTGGCACTGTGTCGTCGGCTCCTTTCCGATGCGACTCAGGTATTCCCCGAAGCATCCATGCCCGGTGAGCACCTGAGTCACCTTGTAAGTGAGGTGGCCGACCCCGTTCTCTAGCCACACCTCGAGATGGGGTCAAATCACCGCGACGACTTCTTGGACGGCCGCGCGCGGTTCGTCCAAGTGCTGCTCCCAATCGAGGAGCAGCTGCCGTCGGGCCTGGCGCTTAGCGTTGGCAAGAGCCTCCTGCAAGATGTTGTTTGCAACGCCCTCTTGTAGCAGTTCGGCTCGGCGAGCATATCTTGCCGAGTACATTTTTGCCAGGAGGGCTAGCGGAGGTACTCTCGCCAGCACACCCGCCGTCTCCGTTGCCACTGTGCGGAAGCCGCATATAGCGCGGAGGACGATGACTCTCTGGGCGGCGCGGAGTTGAGCAAACGTGCTCCGCGCCCCCGTCCTCGCTGCGGCTCCCGCCCACAACAATGCCCCGTAAAGGGCCACCGAGTGGACAACGTTCACATAGAGACGGCGGTCCATCTGCCGCGGCCCCCCGAGGTTCGGCAGCAGCCCCAAAAGGCTGTCAGCCATCTTGCGAACCCGGGGAGCCAGGCGAGCAAAGTGCTCGCCATAGCGCCATCTTGGGTCGAGGTGCAACCCAAGGTACTTAATGGTGGTACCCACCTCAACTCTGGCCTCACCTACGCGGAGGCTGGCGTCTCTGGGCCGACCACGACAAGGGCCATGGAACCACATTGCCTCCGTCTTGTGGACAAGCACCTTGAGACCCAGCCTCTCAATTCGGCCGACGACACAGTTAGTGCCTACTTTGACCAAACCTCGTGTTTCTTCCCAAGTTGCACCAGAGGCCACAACAAGAGTGTCATCTGCATAACAGATGACACTTAGGCCTCTGGGCAACGCAGCCTGGATTACCACATTGTACCCGAGATCCCACAGCAGAGAGCCCAAGACGGACCCCTGCGGGACCCCGCGGCACATTTCTTTACTCAGTAGTGATCAATACCGGCCCGTGTACTTGATCTTCCTGCCGCGAAAGTAGTCACCGAAGATTCTACTTAGATAGGGTGGGACCCCGTGACGTCCTAAGGCCCACCCTATACTGTCCCAGGGGAGGGAGTTAAAGGCGTTGGAGATGTCCTGCAACACCGCCAGCGCCCTCCTTCCCTGCCTGACCGATGCCTCCGTGAAGGACTTGAGTCGAAAGACGGCATCGACCGTCGATCGTCCCACACGAAAGCCGTACTGGCAGTCGGCCAGGTCGGGACCTACCCGCGACAGGTGCCCGATGAGACATGCGGCAACAATTCGCTCTAAGAGCTTGCCTGCCTCATCGAGCAAACAGATCGGCCGGTACGCGGACGGTGAGTCCGCGGGCCTGCCACCTATGCGGAGGAGCACGAAGTTGGCTTCCTTCCAGGCTGGGGGGAACCAGCTTTGCCTTAGGCAGTCGGTAAATATCTGCTTGAGGCGATCACCCAGGGGGCCTTGCCCAACGGCGAAACCCAACACTTTTTCGGGCACGCCGTCGGGGCCTGGCGCAGTATTCTTTTCATCCGACGAACGGCCCGGCGGAGCTCGTCTTCCGACACCCCCAGTTCGGCGGACCATTCCACTGGCTGGTCCGCCTGGGACTCCAGAGAGGGCCACTCGCCCCTCCCCTCCGAAAAGAGCGTTGACACGTCCTTCTCTAAGAGTTGGGGGTCTAGACTCTCCGTTATCGGAGGCGTCCAAGGCCGCAACTTTTTCATTACGACCCTATACATGCGCCTCCACGGATCAGAGTCCGGATTCTCGACGAGCTCCGTCTACGCTTTGGACTTCGCCGTGGAGATGGCGACTCGGAGGGCCTTGCGCGCTGCGCGATAATTTTCCCACGTCATCTCCGCTGCCCTAACCGCCTCGTCGTCGCCGGGAAGACGACGACGGGCATGGGTGTACCGGTGGTTGCAACAGAGTATTCGGTCCGCAGACCTGCAATTTCCTCCGACCACCAGTACACCGACCTCCTGTTCGGCGGTCCCCGGGAGCGCGGCATCGCAGTATCGCAGATGCTCTCTAGCGCTCCCCGGAACCACCGAAGTTCTTCCCGGAGGTCACGCGGTCCAGCCGGGGACTCAGGCCAAGCCGCAATCTGGGCAGCACCGGACAGGAGCTTTGGGTCCAGTTCCCGCAGGACCCAACCCCTGGGCCGGGGCCTCCTTCCCGCCCGGCGTCCCCGAAGGCGGGCAGGGAGCACTTCGACCCTCATTGTGATATACCGGTGATCACTGAGGGTCTCCATGTCATCCCTGACGCGCCATTCGGACACCCCGCGCGCGGCAAGGGGGGTCGACGCGAACGTCACATCGACAATCGAACCCCCATTGTGCCTGACGCACGTGTGTTGCGAGCCCACGTTAACAACCGTGAGCCCGCAGGCCGCCATGGTGTCTTCTAAGACCCTTCCTCTGCCGTTAGTTTTGGGGGAACCCCAAGTCTCCGACTTGGCATTGAAGTCCCCCAGGACCAACACCTGGCGAGCCGAGTGTCGCCTTACGGCTAGCTCGAGCTCGCCCACGTATCTTTGAAATTCGAGGAAGGGCCTCGATGGCGAGAAGTATCCCCCGACCACGGCCAGTTCCCCCCACTGTACGACGAGGTATCCGTCGCCCCTCTCTAGAGAAGAGAAGACGGCGGCCTTGTCGCGTGTCCCCCACCGGAAATATATGGCGACCAAACCGTCTTCCGACCCCCCTCACGACGGGTGGTCGGGGACGTTGTACGGCTCGGCCGCCACAGCCAGAATCCCGTCCCACTCCGCGAGGTGCTGGATCATGAGATTTTGCGCAGCTCGGGAGTGGTTTAAATTGCACTGGAGGAGGAGAGGGGCGCTCACTGTCTCGGCGAGACGGGTGGCACCTCCACCTTTATCCCCTCCTCCAGGGCACTGCTCCGAGAGGGCTAGGTGGCCCCCTCCTGTATTGCCGGCGCGGGTGTTGAGGCGCCGGCAACTACGCCTGTTTCCTGGGAGACGGGTTTAGCCCCGCTGCCCCTGGCAGCTCTCTGCGCTCTTTTGGCTCCCCCTTTGGGGATCGGGGCGCAGAACTTGCCGCCGAGTCGGTGAGCCGCGGGCCGGCCGAGGTCAGCGCATAGCGGGCACCAAGGGGCCGCGTCGCAGGTTGCGACGCCATGGCCCCTCTCCTCACACCAATAGCACCGGCCCCTTCTGTCCTCCTCCGGCGCGGTAGACGTGCACGTCGATACGACGTGCCCGCGCCGGAAGCAGCGGTGGCACTGCAGGGGCCGCCGCTCCACACCTCGATCGGAGCTTTGACCCAGCCCACCCTAATAAATCCGGCGTCCGCGATCCTTCGCCCCATGGCGACCGGGGACCGAATCCATGCTGTGGTGAGTCCATTGGGAGAAGTGCGAGCTCGGCCGACCTTTATTTCGGCCGATCGACAACCTCCAATGGCCACCACAGCCTCCTCTATCTCCTCGGAGGTGATAGAGTCATTGAGGCCCCGTATGCGCAACTCGCACGTTTTTACGGGTCTCGTAACTCGCACTCCCAGTTCTGGGGCCAAGGCGGCCATTGCCTCGTGGAGGCGGTCCGCCCTGGCTTCGTTGCCCTCACCGGGGATCTCCATAAGGAAGGCCCTGGTGACAGCCATTTTGGGGCGGACTTCGGAGATCCCGAAGTCCGCCAATCTAATTCTCCTCCGCATCTGCGCCACCGCCGCCGCCACGTCAGCGTTTTGCGTGCTGGCAGTTATGACGATGGCCGCAAAGCGGGGAGCCTTCCCAACTTTGGGGCGAGAGGTGTGCTGCCCGGGCTTAACGGCCCCCGGGCCAGCGGATTTTCCTCCCGCTCCCCTAGAGGAGAACGCAGCGGCTTGCGCGTTTCTCCTCTTTTCTTTGCGGCCGACAACCTGAGACCAGGGTGTCCCAGACTCGGCCGCAGAGACCCCCGGCTTGGGCTTACTCGGCGGGGCCAGGTCCGCCCAGCGGGTGGCCGTAGGCAACATCGCCACCCGGGCCTGAGTGCTCTCCTTGGCACCTTTTCCTTTTTGCTTACCCCCGTTTTTTTTTTCTTCTTCCCCTTTGCAGGGGAGGAAGCAACAGGAGCGACTTCCGTTGAGGGACAAGCGACGGCAGGAGTGCCTGCGCTGTTCCTCGCGGCTGCGCCCTTGGGCGCAGCTTTTTTGGCCGGAAGGGGTGGTGGTCGAAAGGTCGCTTTACCTCCCTCCGCCCCCAGGGGTGGACGGGAGAGTCGGAGAGACATCTGCTTTCAGAATGCAGACATCTGGGAGAGTACGGCGTCCATGAGCCGACTCTCCACCCACCTGAGGGACTTGGGACCCAATACTTCCCCCGAAGGCGGAGGGTTTGGCGCTCGAGGCGTCGGCGACGCTACCGAGGGCTCCCCCCGCTGGGGGCTCCGTCCTGATCCCACCTCCAAAGGAGGGACGAAAATCAGAGGGGATGATTCCGCCCAAGAACTCTCCGGCCTCGGCGGCACGGAAGGTCCGGGTGGCGGTGACACTACACGCAAAGGTGGAGAGGAGGGAGGCGGAGACCGACGACCGGAAGGCCGTTTTTTACGGCTCTTTGCCTCCTTTAGCTTCTCCATCCTGAGGGACATCAGCTCCCGCCTAACCTAACGACGCCTGGGGACGTAGCCTAGTCCCCACCCTAGACCTTCGATTATTTAGCAGGCAAAAGGAACGACGCCTGACCCTTCTATTATTTTGCAGGCGGAAGGTTGCCGCCTGAGCACGTAGCTCCCCCCAAGTGTCGACCCTCTAATTATTTTGCAGGGTAGAGGACGGACCCCTGAGGACGTACCTTTCTCAGCCTTATGCTCTTTTATTATTTTGCAGGGGAGAGAGACGGCCCCTGAGCACGTAGCCTTACCCCCCTACCACCCACCTCTCGCGGTCTCTAAACCCCGCGACAGCCTTTTGCGTTTTTATACGAGGGGGAGGCTCGAACCCTGTCGGTGAGATAGCATAGACATCGGGACAAAACCGTCAGCCATGCATCACCCATTTACCCGGACAAATATACGCGCGAACCCGAGAGGATGTTGGACCGCTGCATGCGCGCACAAAGTGGCGCGGATGCTTTGGCCTGCTCATTCCCACAAGTACCCCACAAGGATCGGTATCCCTGTTTATCCTACCCGAGCCTCTCATCGTAGAGGCAAAGCTACTGGTTTCCTCTTAGTCTGACCGCTCCCCGAAGGCCTGTCCGGCAAGGTAGAACCTGCCAGGACCGAAGTCCCGCCGGTATAGCCCCTCGGATCATCACCGTTCTCAAGCCCGGGCACCACGTCAAGGTGGGAAACCGTCGCCCGGAAACCATGTTCAACCATAAACAAACCATGTTTAACCATACTTGAACCATAAACGTACCACATTCAACCATAAACGAACTATGTTTACGTAGAAACGAGTTACGATTAACTATGGAACCACGTTAAACCGCGATTAATACCGATAATCTATATAAATATGGTATGGAACAGGGTAGTAAATGTACAACTAAAGTTGTTGCATATAACATTTTATTGTCGTTTAAACCATCAAGTAAATATTTTAAATACATTTTGTAATGCGCAATGTTTCACATGTTTTTCACATTGTAGACAATTCAATACATTCAATTTAGTTAAAGAAGCAATATCGTCGTAATTGTCATCCAATGTTTTAATAAGGAATCCACGTCGTACGTCACTATCGAGAATATCAGCTAGCCAGTTACATTTTTCAGGACCTTTAACATAGACAAGTGAAGATGCGTTGTCATCATTTTCTGCAGTGCCACAAATAGCTGGTGTAATCAAATTTTTCACTCTGCGGTATGCAACATTTCCATCTTTCCAACGCAGCCTGTGATGATGCGTCATCAGCCAAGGAGCTGCTGACCTGTCTGATCTTGCAAGTAGATTCCACGGAGAAGGGTTTTCAAAAAATGTAATGCGAGAGAACCTTTTCGCAATACCGCTACTTCTTTGACAATAAATTTTTTCCCGACTACAAATTCTTGTAAGTCCACAAACGTCGGCACATCCGTGATGATGTAATTGTGTGACCGATAAAAGACGACTGCTGTCTATTGGTACATACTGTGATTCTTAAACAATTTTTTAGATTATGGAAGGAAGAAATGCTGATGTTGCAATTTAAGTAATTTTGAGCACTACGTTAGTTAACGGGTTGTATTCAACCAGACGATCGTGCAAAATGAGACAATAGGCCATAGTATTTGCCGATATATTTTCTTTGCAATCAAATTCAATACGCACATCGACGGTTGCACTTTTGACAGCCTCGTTTTGACGTGAGCAATCAATGACCACTAAAAGACTACATTGCAGAAAGTTGTACCTCGTAAAAAACGGTACAACAACACCACATCCGTAGTACGTTTTACGGAAATATGTGTACATATTGTACAGAACGGCATATTTTTGTTTATCAAAATCTAAATGCAAGTCGTCATAAGGGTAGAATTCAGAGTTGAGATACAGTTTTACGTTGGTCAACTGACAGTGATCGAATCGCGTGACATCTGCTGACATATCGTTTCTTCGAGCAGTCTGTAACGCAAATATGACGTATCTCAGTTTCTCAAGTTGTGTCGCCGTTTTTACGGCCCACAAATGTTTAGTAGTGCTTTGTAATAATGAAAACTCGTAGAGATCCCACGAGCGAAAACTCATGGTCAAATACCGCCCGCTTTCCAGAGTTTGTAGTAGCGAGACCTTTGTAACATCGTTCAACACTAAGTGGGGCATTTGCCATTGCACTTTGAGTAATTTAANTTTGCCATCCAATGCCACACGATCTACCTGAGAAACTGCTGNTATGCAGTTTTTGTCGTTGCGCGATCGTATTAAAATTAGTTCATGACGTGCATTGATAACCGTAAGCTTCTAGTCCTCACAAAATCCAAATAACATGCTGAGTGGTACGCAGAAACTAAAGTAACTATCTACGTCCACATGTTGTTTAATATCCCAACCAGCATTCTTCATGGCCATGCTTTTATCATGTGTTAGCGATATATAGTTTTTGATCGTGTTAGTTATTCCAACGTTTCTATTACGATCAATCTCCATACCATTGAGTTCGTAGCGAATCTCATCAAACATAAAAGCTACACAATTATTACCGAGATATACTTCTTCTTCGTCTTTCATCGTTAACGTTATTTTTCCTTCGACATAAAGAAAACTTTAACACGGTAAAGTGTACAAGTCCTGCTGTTGTATAGGTATGCGTATCTCATCACTGTGTTCAAATGTCGTGTTCACATACGGATTGTACGTGCGAGTTTCTAGCTTGACAATGCGATCGTCAAAAATCGGTTCGCCCCCAACATTTAAAATGTCGCACATATTTTCAACCTTCTCGTAAAATAAATCCCAACAATTGCAAAAATTTAACGTTTATCGAACTTAGTTTCTTCCGATTACTGTACGTCGTAGCAGGTGTTTGTAATGGAAACCTTGTATCTCGCGTTACTTGATCCGACTCGTTCAGCACGATTATGGCGCGTATCACAGTCGTCGGCGTCGCACGTGTAACCTGACGGTTATTTTCTCTCCTCAAAAATCAAGCAATTGTCCGTTCTGATCCACAATACGTATTGTCAGATCCGTAATGCTCTGCACGATGATTGGAAGGTAAATGCTCTGTGCCGGTGTTTCCGAAATCTTATATCCTGGCGGCACGTTCGGTAAAAACTCATGTATCGTATGCACGCACCGGTTGTTGCTGTATGCACCCGCGTTCACGTTGCACTCTATGCGAAGAACGTTAACGTTGATAATATTAATCGGCACGTCTGACACATACCACTGGCGTGGATCTAAAATACGAGTTGATGAAAATCCCAACAGCGACCCAATGGTGTCAGATTTAGTAAAATTTATTGGATACGCGCAGTTTATTTCGCTTTTCATTGTGTTGGTGTTTGCACGTAATATTAATGGTGAGATTTCCTCATCCTTATTTTCGCTTCTCGCATTACGTTGCACCAGTGCATGTTGCAAATAATTGGTAATATTCCCCAATTCGTACGATCCTTCAGGATTTATAATTTGCTTGTCATCCGTATTGTAATAAAATTTGTTGTTCGACGAATTTACGTTCGGTATCATATGATATGTTTCAAAATCTGTTAGTCCAAGCTCGTAATCACCGTCACTTAAATCAATGGC